TAATGTCTTTTTTATGTCTTTTCTCGATGTAAAATAGCTAGCCATTCTCTGTCATGTATGTCTTCATCTTATACTTGAAAATCATGATTATTACGCTACTCTCGGTTCATCTCTCTTTTTGGTGAATAAACCCACATTTCTAACACTTCAGCTTTATCTGCTTGACTCCATTAACATGTGTCCTGTACTAAACCGTTGCAAGAAGGCGGGGCCCCCACCTGGTTTTGTTCCACCCTGAATCACCAGTGCTAGCCCAGGGCCAGACACACAGTTAGAGTTCAGGACGAGGTGTGGAATGAATGAATGGATAGACATTACATCTGCTCAGTGAGTGGCCTTCCTGTAAATGGGTGGTTCTCGGTGAGGGACGGGGTGTGGAGAGAAGGCAGGTTGTCATACAGGATACAGGTTGTCATATCTGAATCACCTGCAGTGCTTTTTTTAAAGTTACCTGACGCCTTCTCCCCAGGGCACATCATACCAGGGCCTACACTTTGCAGTTCACCAGCGTACTCCACACTAGTGTATTGTGGTGTAGTTCACACTTTGTACTTCAGGGGGAGGAAGGCCCATTTCACCCGAAATACATCTCATACAACAGTCACTGGTGACAGAAATTTCTTTAATAGGACACAAAATCTTTCATTCATAATCGGAGATGAAGGCTAAGGTACAAATACCTTTGGCCAGTGTGATATGATAGAAACAGTGCTGACAGGACCAGGAGGCAGCAAAGCTGGCCTTTAGAGCTGCCTTGACTTTGGATATGGGTATGTGACAGGAAGGGAAGAGAGAGGAGTACACAGGCTGCTGAGCGTCCAAGGAGGTGTGGAGAAGTGGGGCATGAGCAGAGGGCCAGCACCACTGGGATACGGTGTGGAGGCCTCATCTTCTTCATGTTCGCTGGCATCAAGCCTACCTTCTGAGGGGCCCATCTGCTTTCTGCTCTCAAGGGGAAAAGCTCGTGAGTCACATGGCCTGGGTTTAGGACCTGCCTGGGCAATCGGGATCTGCCCACCCAGCGATACTTCCACAGACGAGCCGGGAGGATCATTTCTCATCTGCTGGGTGTCCACTTCATTCTTATTCCCAACGTGTGTTAATGGTTTTTAACTGAGCCCTAACTGCTAGCTCATGTTCACCTTGGCTCCAGGCTGATTCCCAAGATCCTCTGCTGTATTCAAACTCTGTTTTAACTTTTTAAACTGTAAAATATAGCACCCATAGTGTACAGTTTAATGGTTGTATAAAGTCAACATCTGTGTAAGTAATGTACCGATTACATTATACGTTACATACATGTATAAACATTATCCATAGACAACATGTTATATTAATTTTATTGTACGTAAGTTAAACCTCAATAGGAATGATTTTTAAAGAAAAACAAAATGAAATGATATATTATAAAACTTCTGAAGGTCCCCACTCACGGCCCCATACCAATCACAAGCCCTTACATTCCTCCCTAAAGAAACCATTATTCTGGGGCTGGCCCCGTGGCCGAGTGGTTAAGTTCACGCGCTACATGTCGGTGGCCCAGGGTTTCGCTGGTTCGAATCCTGGGCGTGGACACAGCACTGCCCCTCAGGCCACGTTGAGGTGGCGTCCCATATGCCACAACTAGAAGGACCCACAACTAGGATATACAACTATATACTGGGCGGATTTGGGGAGAAAAAAAAAAAGACGATTGGCAACAATTGTTAGCTCAGGTGCCCATCTTTAAAAAAAAAGAAACCATTATTCTGACTTTCATGTTAATCACTTTTCTTTCTTTTCTTAATGGATTTACCACCTAAGTATGCATCCCTAAAAAAGTATGTTTAATCTTGTCTGCTTTTGAACTTCCCATAAGTAGAATCATACAATATATACTCTGTTTGCTGGATTTCTTTCACTCAACAACGTTTTTAAGATTCATCCACATTATGGCCTGTAGCTATAGTTTGTTGATTTTTATTTATATATATTATTCTAGCGAATGAATGTTCCACAATTTGCTTGCACATTCTACTGTTGACGGACACTTGGGTTGTTTCCAGTTTCAGGCTATTATGAGTAATATGGCTATGAGCATTCGTGTACCTGTCTTTTTTTTTTTTTTACAGCTTTATTGAGGTATACTTCACATATCATAAAATCCACACATTGTCAGGGAACAATGCAAAGGGGTTTTTTCCTAGTTTCATTGAGGAATAATTGACATACCTTACAGTACAAGTTTAATGCATACAGCATGACAGTTTGATTTACATAGAGAGGTTTCCCCCACTATCTGAAAGTAGAGTGTTCCTGTGAAAACCTTCATGAGTGAAATGGCGTAAAGCAAAGAAGCAGTTACCGTTAATTTACATGGGAAAAAATCTTGAGTGTTCCCAGATCCCAATAACCTATCAAATCATACCAAATAACACATAAAACCTAAAATAACACTAACATATAGTAAAAGCAGGAATGATACGATAAATATACAGCCTTTATAAAGCAGAAATAATGTCTGTACAGTGATGTTTCACTTACCAGAATCAGGAAGGCAGTGAGCACACAGGAAGGCCGAGAGGTGGTGGTGGTGATGACGGGGTGTTAGGCTGAGTTGTTGGAGGTTGGGGTGGTAGGAGGTCCAGGGGACTGGGGTGGAGGCAAGAGAGGAAGAGCGTCATCTATTAGCATCTCATCGAAGTCCGAATCCATCAGGGCGTGCAAGTCACTGACGTCTACACCGTCTTCTATGTCTGCTGCCTCGATGTCGAAGGTCGAGGTTCCTTGTCTGCTGTGGCTGATGTGGCTGGCTTGAAATACGACAGTATGCTTGACTGCTTAGCCTCCATAACCGGCTCGCCGCAAAAAAAAAATGCTGAACGCTATTTTCACATCTTTTTTTGTAAAAGCAAAAATCCTCTTCGGATTTCTTTAGGTTAACAAAAACAGGTACTAATGTAAGTCTTTCCTTTTTTCTTTTTTTTTTTCTTTTTTGAGGAAGATTAGCCCTGAGCTAACATCTGCCACCAATCCTCCTCTTTTTGCTGAGGAAGACTGGCACTGAGCTAACATGAGTGCCCATCTTCCTCTGCTTTTTTTTTTTTATATGTGGGATGCTGCCACGGCATGGCTTGACAAGCAGTGCGTAGATCTGCACCCGGGATCCTGGCTGGCGAACCCCGGGCCACTGAGGCGGAACGTGAGAACTTAACCACTTCGCCACTGGGCCGGCCCCTAATGTAAGTCTTTCTTAAAAGCGAAGAGGTGTAAAGTGAACTTTGGGATAGTGAGGGAAACCTGTATTGTGAAATGATTACCACAATAGGTTCAGCTAACACCCATCTTCTCATATAGATACAATAAAAAGAGAAAATCTCCTTGTGATGAGAACGCATAAGATTTACTTTCTAAACAACTGTCCTATATATCATCCAGCGGTGTCAGCTGTAGCCATCATGTTGTACATTACTTCCCGAGAACTTACCTTATAACTGGAAGGTTGTACCTTTTGACTACCTTCCTCCAATTTCTCCTCTCCCCTACTCTCCGCCTCTGGTAACCACAAGTCTGGTCTCTTTTTCTATGAGTTTGGTTTCCTTTTTCTTTTCAGATTCCACACATAAGTGAAATACAGGATTTGTGTTTCTCTGTCTGACTTATTTCACTTAGCATAACGCCTTCATGGTACACCCCTGTTATCGCAAATGGTAGGATTGCCTCATCTTTTACACGTGAGTAATATCCCATTGTGTATATGTATATATACACATATACACCACAACTTCTTCATCCATTCACCTGTCGATGGACACTAGGTTGCTTCCATGTCTTGTCTGTTGTGAATGATGCTGCTATGAATGTGGAAGTGCAGATATCTTTTCAAGTTAGTGTTTTTGTTTCCTTTGGATATATTCTCAGATGTGGAATTGCTGGATCATATGGTAATTCTGTTACCTGGCCCACCAAACCCATAAGACATTAACCACAACCCTGCTCAGAACAAGCCTAACATATTATCTTTAGCTTACAGGAAACCACAAAGAGAGGAAGGAGGAGATGGCTGAGACATATAGTCGAAACCAGTCAAAACCAGTTGAAGGCAACCTGGCAGTCTGACTTAACCTGACATAGACCCCGCAGCTTATTATTCACTCATTGTAATATATTATCATGATACATAACACACCCACCAGTGCCATGACAGTTTACAACTGCCATGACAACAATGGAAACAAACCACATAAGGACCAAAGACGGACGGCAACCTCATTTCCCAGAAAAGCCTGCCCAGGTCCCCATGTTGCTGTGAATTGCTCTCCTCTCCATCGCCTGACCCCTTACAACGGCTGCTGGGTCGCCCCAAGGGCTGAGAAGTTGATTTGTGAACTTAGTTCCCGCTTCTCCATTCTTTGGCCATTGAATAAAGCTTGTAGTGTTGAACACTCAGTTTTGTTTCAAATCTGCAATACCGAACAGAAAAGACACCCTCTGAGGAAGAAAAGGGCTGATTGTGGGTTCAAGGTCCTCCAGCCCTGGGTTCTTCCTTGGGTCCCTTCTAATTGTGGGTTTAAGTCCCATGAGAGGGAATCGAAACTGGTAACAGTTCTATTTTTAATTTTTTGAAGATCTTCCATACTGTTTTCCATAGTGGCTGCACCAATTTACAATCCCACCAAGAGTGTAGGAGGGTTCCCTTTTCTCCACATCCATATACACGTCTTTTGATGTACATGTGCACCTATTTCTGTTGCATGCATGTCTAGGAGCAGGATTCTGATAACCTTTCTGGTGGTATGTGTATCTTCAGTTTTGTTGGATACTGTGGCGTTTGGTAAAGGATCTCCCTTGTAGCATCTGTGGTACTGTGCTGGTAAGTAGGTGCTTATATAGCTGCTGTTGTACAAAAACAGCATCTAGAGGACAAAAATCTAAGTTATAATCATTCCCAGCACCTGGCACAGGAATAAACAAATGATAAGCATATTTGTTATTCATGTAAAAAAAAAAAAAACCCTCAAAATTAGCAGCTTAAAGCAGCAAACATTTATTATCTCATACAGCTTCTGAGGTCAAGGGTCCAAGAGGAGCTTAGATGGGTGGGTTCTGGCTCAGGGTCTCACAAGGCTCCAATCAAGGTGTCAGGTAGGGCTGCAGTCATCCAAAAGCTTGCCTGGGGCTGTTGAATCTGCTTCCAAGATGGCTTACTCACGGAACTGTTGACAAAAGGCCAGTTCTTCTTCAGCTGTTGGCAGAGGTCCTCGCTTCCTAACCACCTGGGCCTCTTCATAGTCCACTAACTGTCCTCATGCTATGGCAGCTGGCTTCCTCCAGATCAAGTGGTCTAAGGGAGAAAGTAAGGCAGAAGCCACCTTTTTTTTTTATACTCTGTCTCAGAATTGACATACCATCACTTTTGCTGTGTTCTATTGATCATACAGAACAACCCTGGTAAATGTGGAAGGGCACTACAAAGGGCACGCATACCAGGAAGCAGAGATTACTGGGCTTAGAGGCTGACAACCACAGTAGGCACTTATTCAATGTCTCAATGGATCAATGAATGAAGAAATGAATGAGTGAAGTGACCTCCTTTGGACCATATCCCAAAGCTCTTAGTGATCCAAGAACCAAAATGAACTCATTTTTCTTAAGGCAGCCTTGGCTATGATAAAGTCATCTCTAGACACTGATTGGGACCACAAACAGCACATGAGAGAGGTTCCCATGCCGTATTTACCCACTCTCTGAATAGAACGACATTGTCATTTTTCAGGAACATGGACTCAGACCAGAGAAGATGGAATAATTGACTTGAGGTCACTGAGAAGGTCAGATGACTCAAGGGTAGACTCCCTGTCCACGGGGAATCATCAGAGTGAGTTTTAGATGAGCACACCTTCTGGGTGCTGTTGAGTTGTTTGGGATGCTGAGTCTTCTCTACCTTCACTAAAGGGAGATTCGTGGGTCCAGGAGACGACCAGTTCATAGCATATCAGTGTCTTAAGAGTTTTCCTTTTCTCATTTTCCTAATTTTGGGATGAGACACACTTTCCTACTACATCCTAATCTCTAGTAACTGGTCATCCCCATGGATTTTACAGAAGATTCTCATGTGACTTAATAACTGTGGGCCCTAGAGAAGGGTTCCTGGCCTTTTACCGTCATCTTGTCCTTTTGTCCCACGTTAGCTCCCTGTATGGACTGTCTTTTCCTTAAATTTTAATATCAACCTACTGTAATTCTACCAGTTCTTCTAGTTCCAGCCAAATCTCTACTCCTTCAAGAAGTTTCTCTGATTATTCCATCCAGAGAGTTCACGTCCTCATTGGACCAACCCTCTCTCACAAGTTGTTTCACTCCTGTGGCATCTGAGTTTGTTTTCCTTTTGTTTTTTTTAAAGATTGGCACATGAGCTAACATCTGTTGCCAATCTTTTTCTTCTTCTTCTTCTCCCCACAGCCCCCCAGGACATAGTTGAATATTCTAGTTGTAGGTCCTTCTGGCTCTGCTATGTGGGACGCTGCCTCAGCATGGCTTGATGAGCAGTGTCATGTCCACGCCCAGGATCCCAACCAGGAAACCCTGGGCTTCCAAAGCAGAGCACACAAACTCACCTACTAGGCCATGGAGCCGGCCCCTGAGTTTGTTTTTGAAGCATTTAGGTATGTGCAGGACATGTCATACATATTTTCATTCTCTAGTTCCCCCAAATAAATATTCCTTAAATGAGTAAATAAATACATTTGCTTTCATTTAATCGTAAAACATTCAAAAAGGTCTCTTTACTCTTGAAAACTTAAAGATGAACACTTTTGTAATATTCAAACTATTTTTCAATCTTTTGTTTGTTTTTTTAGTTTGTTTTTGCTTTTTATTGTGACTTCAGACTTTAAAAATGTTACACTTGAAGGCAGGACACAGATACTGTAAAATTAACAGGTTACACATGTGCAGTGTTGATACGCTTCTCCTTTAACAAAATTAAATTCACTAATCACATTCATTTCTAAAGCCCTTTGAAATTGTGTGTCATGCTTATGGGTGGCCACATTCCAGAGAACTGAGTATGTGCTACGAAACGAAAGGAGGCTTGGGGGTGGGGAGGAAACCCTTACAAGGCAAGAGAACTGAGCATGTGCGAGGTTCTGTACCAAACAAAGGAGGGCAGAGAAGTGCAGTTTTAGAAATATCGAGGGGAACGAAAACAGAAAGGGAACTGGAGAGCGGGGCATGGCTCACCACACTCAGGAGATCACCCAGAATCCACAAGTGGAAAGGGTGCACTCAAGGAAGGACGCTCCTTAATCAGACCCTTCTGGCATCTCTTTACCAGGCCCTACCCTTTGGGGATGCCCAGACCAAGCCATCACTCCTCACACTCACTGACTCCTGAGACCCCTGCCCTTTACCTGACACATGTTCTGTCACTCTGCATCAGAATTGTGGCTTTGGGTTTTTGAGAGGTGATGTGGTATGGGGAGTCCAATGGAGCTGGAAGAATTCTGGCTCACTTGCTTAGAAGCTGGCAACTTACTCAATCTCTTGCAGCCTCAGTTTTCTCCTCTATAAATTGGGGATAATAACACCTACAATGCAGGTATTATTGTGGATTACAGGTATAGCAGGCATTGCAGGATTGTTGTGAGGATTACACACCAGCGGGTACTCAATCGACAGCAGCTCTGAAAAGCAGTGGCGTGGTGGCTAAAAGCATGGCGTCTGGATTAGACGGTCTGGGTTTGAATCCTTGTTTCATTACCTACTCTCTGTGCCTACTCTCATTACCTACTCTCTACTTAGTATCTCTGTGCCTGACTTTCCTAATCGATCAAATGGGACTAATAACGATAGCATAGTTTCTATCTCACAGAGTTGATGGAAGGGTATGCTGGTGATAATGCAGTGCCTGTCACATAAAAAGCATTCAGGAGATGGAAGTAGCAATAGAAGCTGTTTCTGTTATTATTTATGATAAAAGATGCAGCGGAGGGCAGCAGTTACGACTATGTACTCTGGCACTGAACTCCCTGGGTTCAGATCCTGGTTCTATTTTCCCCCAGCTATATGAGGCCAGAGCCTCCATTCTGTAAATCTATCTGTAAAATGGTGATAATAATAGTACTTACTTCGTAAGATTAAATAAATTCATATATGTAAAGTACTTACATTCATATATGTAAACAATACATGTTAGCCATTATTATTATAAATTCCAACAAGCCATAGCTCCAGTTTTTATGCATTTCAACGGGTAATCTTAAAGCTTGATACTTTGTACAATTAAATAAAGTTAAAGTTTATGTATTCTGTGGTGATTAACCTGAACTACCAGTTCCCTTGGAAATGAGCCAGGCTTTCAACCACAAAAGGTTTTCAACTGGGTCCCAGCTGACCGTCTCTTCAGTGTCTATGTGTACAGCAGATGGTGAGCTGCATTTTTTAAACTACTCCTTTCAAGTTCTCAGGAAAATTAAATGCCCTCATCGCAGGAGAGTGCCCTTGCCTCAGCCTCTCGCTCCCGCTCCCGGGAAGAGAGCTCACAACCAGGCAGGCTGGGGAGTCTCCCCGGTGCCACAGACTGCAGTTTTCAATGACACACCGAAAGCCGGCCTCTTCACCTCACATTTTCACTCTGCTCTCTGGCTGTACTGCAGTAACAGGACAAGTTGTTCGTTCAGATACCGGAAAGGCTGACAGTCCAGGAAACTTTTTTTTTTCGTTTCTGCAGCCAATAATCTTGCAGCACGATGATGTCACCCAACAGTTACGCATATGACTTAACTGTTGGCTAGGTGACAGGAATTCCACTGACACCGAGATCACAATGAAACTGCTTAGCTGCTAAATTAGTCATATTGTACGTTACCGATAAGTCCCTTTTAAACTGATTAACTGCCAGTTCAAACAGCGTTATTGTCTATTAGGGAAGTCAGGGCCCCATTGCTCACAGTTTAAAGGACCACAGCCAGCATTCTAGCACTGAAAAAAGCAAATCAGGTGGTTACTGAATTTGACAACATCACAGGCCACTCGAAGAGGGACACAGTGAGAAAAGGAAACACTTTCTATCCTCTGTTTTCAGGGAAAAATTGGTAGACTATCTCCTGGACTATGTCCTAAAATGAGTCATTTCAATCTCTTGATGACTTTCCCAATCCACATAAGATGAGAATAGGATTCTGTTCCTGAATGAAGACACGGATTATTTAGTGCTGTTTTCTTTTTCTAACACAAGCTGGCCTCTGTCCTACAATTCAACCACACTGTGAAAGGGGATTTTTACTGACCACAAGCCATGAGGTAGATGCCACTTATTCCACAGAATCAGTAATTAAAATAATGCTTACATTTTCCCATTTAAAAAGTAGTACGTGTGTGAGAAAAAATTTAGGAAATACTAAAAAGTACGAAAAAAGAAGGATAGCTCCCGCCATCTCACGCTCCCCAAAACAACCGTAACTAAAACTTTGTAAATTTCTTTCAGCTCCAATACATATTGAATGAATACAACCACCTAACAAACTCCTTGCCTGGCAGCATGGTGGATGTCAGGCAGAGAAAGATAAGTAAGATTCCAGGCCTCTCCCTCAAGAAGCGCACAGCTTAATGTAATGGGGTATCTGAACACAAAAGAGGCATTTAGCGCAGGCTGGAGAGAGCGGAATGTGGACTGGAGGAGACGGAAGGGATTACCAGAGCAGATGACAGAAATCCTAGAGAAGGGCTGCTCAAAGCGTGGTCCACAGGTGACACCGGATCTTCCAAGCTTTGTACAGAACCTGAGAGAAAGCATTTAAAACTTCCGGGGAAATTTGACAGAGTAATTGTATGTCTTTTGAATCGAATAGTAATTTTTTAAATTGGACCTGCATTTTGTACGTCTTTTGCATTTCATTTTGGTTGTATTTATTCTTATTGTATTTTCAAAAAATCAGTCCACAATAGATTAGAAATTAAAATTGAAATAGATTAGAAATTAAAAATGAGAAACTCTTCTGTCACGACAAATAGTTTGAAAACCACTTTCCTCAAGGACACAATCGCTTAGTTAAGGGTAGGGTAACCAGCCGTCCTGGTTTGCACTAAACCTGGCAGAGTCCCAGGCAAACGGGGATGAGTCGGCCACCTCACAAGTGTCTAATTCCAAGAAAAAGTTAGCTTCACGGGAGACTAGATCAGATAAAGGAGGAGGAGTCCTCAAAGCAGTGAGAGAAGAAGGTCTCTGCGAGCTGAAGGGAGGTGCTGGTGTTCAGGTCAAGAGGGTTCCCTAACGGCTGGGAGGGATCATTGAAAAGAGAGCCACAGCCTGCTACCCAGACTCACTTTCTAAATTCCAAGATG